TCCTTTTTTAGGGGATGCTTTATTTTTGGGCGTGTGACATTTTTTTTCTTTTTTTTTTTTTAATTTTTTTTTTTTTTTTTTTTTTTTTTTTTGTAAAATTGTATGAATGTTTGTGTCTTGTCTGTGTATGGGACTATGGATACAAATTAATTAGCATTTTTCTAAATCTGGTATATTCGTGACAACATTGTATGTTGGTTAATGTCCAACTTAAATAAAATCAATTCTTAAATCAATTAATCAAACCATGGCTGGGCCCAACAAGGGTAGAGGGTCAGGTTGGCTTGGGTAGCTTATTTTTCCTTAACAAATAAAATCATAATGTGAAAAACATTTTTTTCATTTACTCTGGTTACCTTTGTTTATTATTCATTTGTACATTTAAAGTCTTTAATTTTGGTAGTGTCAGCGCTCCATACATTCGTTAATAAGTAGAGTAAAAGGATAATAATTGATTTTTGTAGTTATTATGAAGAACCACGCTTTGTTGTACATTACCACCTATTTTATTGCATTTCCTGCTCTTTAAAATTAGAAACCTGTAGCTGGAGGATGTTTAATTTGGTTTTTTTTTTCTCTCCAGGTGCAGGTTTGTGTTTCTGTCGTCAGTTTTCTGTGGCTGTGCTTTAGCCGATGACTCCTGCCGTTTTGTTCTGGGTGTTTGCAGAAAGCAAAGCTACAAAAACCGCCGGGGATCCAAAGTTTAGCTTTTGTTGTTAATTTGCTCTGTGAATTTGTGGAAGACGTCTTTGGAGGTGTTTGCCAGCAGCTGTGTGGGGGTGAACAGGTTGTTTCAAGAATCACAGAGGAATTAATACCTTTTGTTTTATTGCTGTTTAGCATTGTAAATTTGCAGAGCTTGGGAAGGATTTAACATAAATTGAGAGCAGCACACAAATTCTCAATATCCCTGGATTAAAAGCTCTTAACGATGGCTTTCGAAGCATTGATTCATGCAGCTAAAAACAATTATTTTCCAAAGTTAAGCCAAAAGTAAACATCACTAATACTGAGGAAAATGATAAAGTCCAAATCAGTTATTTGTTATATTAAACCAGCTGACAGGAAACCAGAGACGTTTCAACAGATTTGCCTCTGGTTTTACATTTTAAAAGAAAAAACTATTAAGCATATTTAGATTTAAATATTGTTTTTGAGAAACTGAAAATGATTTTTATGGCTGTAAAATAAAATATAAAGAAGATGTTTTTTTCTTTTTAAACACACTGAAAATGTACTCAATTACTCATTTAAGGCTTTTTTTGTACAATATTATAAAGACATTAAAAGATGCAAATAAACAAATAATTCAATTCTTTTTTAAAATAAGAAAATAAGCATCTTATTGTCTAAAAAGAAAAATAACATTCCATTAGTTGATCATTTGTAGCAAAAAAAATAAAATACTGCTCTCAATGTGTTGTTCTTTTGGTAAATTACCTTTTTTGAGTCTGTAAACTCCAGTTAGCAATTAATTGATTACTAAATGAGTTGATTATTTAAATCATTGATTAATCCGATTAAAGTAGACTGACGTGGTTAATCTGTTTGTAAGAGAATCAAGAAGAGTTTTGGGTGAAAAGTTTTTACTTTCAGATGAATATATTTACAGAAACGTGTCATGTTGCATCATTGCCTGATTCATGAAGGTTTTAATGCTTAAATCGTCATGAAGAAAATCTTTGTTGCTGTTGAAACACAAAGTAATCTGAAGTCTTGTTTTTCCTGCTGAGGAAATGAGAGATTTCCTCTTGTCAGATGTAAGGAGACGTGTGAGCCACTGGCTGATCCTCATAATGACACAACGGAGACTCGACTCCTTTTTCTGGGAACCTCGGAGCGCCGGGCCTGATTTGAGACGAAGGCTTCCTTTATGGGTCTTTAAATCACTCAAGAACAAATGCAGTGAGATTTCTGTCAGGCTTGTAATCTTTATTAAGTCGTGATGATGGTGAGAAGACGCCGCCGCCGCCGCTCTCTCAGCAGACTTATTCCCCGCAGCGGTTGTAATTGTTCTCATAATAAGTGCTGGTGATAAGACCTGAGCGCTGCAAGCCGCCGGTGACGAGGATTTCATTACACGTTGCCATGGTGATAATGATAGTTATGACTGTTTGAAAAGCTTAAAACGTTGTTCCGGGTTTTATTAAGCTTTTGTCGCGACTAGACAGTCTGCAAAAATAGAAATATCTCCAAATAAAAACCAAATATTATGAATTAAACCCCAGAGAAACTTTTTGTTACAACAAACTTTAATGGTTGGATTAATAGAGTGGTTTTCCAGGTTGTATTTTTATATATATATAATTTTTCTTATTAAAGGATATATATATAAAATCTTTCATTCATTTAATAATTTGCAATTTGTAGAAAAGTGTCCTTGAGTTAACAGCACCTTATTCTTTTTTTCTTTAATAAAGCTGATGAACTCCATTCTCACCTTCATTATTTTTGCTCAGTGACTCAAATCACTTCTTTTAAAATGTTCAGATAAATTTAATCCTTCTGTTTGCGTGAGACCAGAGAAAAGTTTGCCTTGTCAGGATTCCTCCACTCATGACTGACAGAGAAAGGAGAAAAAGCTCAGGAATATGAAATTAATAACTCAAGAAATGTGGAATATTTAATTAATGCTACGACATTTAATGAAAATATGTCTTTTAAAATATGTTCCGTTCTACGGAAGAGGATTAGGGACACTTTTAAAAAGTCTGACTTTGTTCTCAGAAGATTAAAGTCAAAATTAAAAAAAACAAAAAGTCTGAATTCTGAAATTAAAGTCAGAATTGTGTGGAAAAACTAATAAGTTTGAGAAAAATGTCAAATTCTGAAATTAAAATGAAAATTTTGAAATTAAGTCAGGATTTTAGAAAAAATCTGAATTTGGAAATTAAATCAACAATTTTGAGAAAAAGTCAGAAGTTTAAGAAAAAAGTCAGCCGTTTCAGGTTAAAAGTCAAATTCTGAAATTAAATTGAGAATTCTGAGAAAAAAAGTCAGAATTCTTTTTTCCCCGTGGTCCTAATCCTCTTCTACTGTACAATTGAAGAAAAATCCCATTTAAATTATCAGAAACCTGTTATGAATCTAATGAAAATATTTTTTTATTTCAGATGGACCCCATGTTCACAGTCCCAGCCCCCCCGGCTCCAGGCCACCCCGGGGCCCCCGGATCTTCCCTGCCCTCGGTCCCGTCATTCTCCTCTCCGGCCCTACCCACTTCCAACCCCAAGCCGCTAACGATCCGGACGCGGTCCGTCGGCACCAACACGCAGGACGGAGGCGCTCCGGGCCCGGTGGATGGGGACCCGACCTTCTTGGGGCCCTGTCAGCCCGGAACCAGCGTCAACCTGGAGGGAATCGTCTGGCATGAGACGGAAGAAGGTCAGGAATGTTCTGGAAACTCTACATCTATGGCTGGAAGCAACATGGACACGGGATTAACCGATTAGTAATCATGGATAATGTCATGTTCAACAGACATTTCAAAGTATATTAATAAAATAAGCTCAAATTTTAACAACCAGCCCAAACCTTTATATCCAGTCTGTCTTCAAATCAGAACCTGCCAATCTGGCAACAAAGTCAATCAAACAATTCAGACTTTAGTAAAATTCAACATTTGTGATTTTAATTTAAGGTCATTTGGAACAGAGATGTCTGGGAAACTTTACCAAACTTTACTAAGCAGAAATCCGCCCAATCTGGCAACCCCCCCCCAATCTGGCAACACTGCCCGTTTCTTTCAAGTAAGGGAGGGAATCACCATGGCAACCGCTGACTCAGCATTTTCCTTTTTTAAACTTTCTGATCTAGACTGTTTGATTTTTTTCCATCTCTATTTTTGTAATTTTCTCAGGAAATCAGAAGATATTCTGAAACGTCAGTCAAAAACTAGAAGATACAGTCAGTAGCAGTTTTTTTCTCTGTACCGTTTAAAAAAACTCAATATTTAAACATAATTTTTGCTCCTTCAAAGACTCGCTTAATTAATTAATTAACTGAAAAGTGTGAGTGTGTTTGTGGGGGTTTAAAAGTGCTCCAAGCAGAAAACATGATGCTTGTTTCTGTTCCAGGTTTTTCAGTTTATTTGGACTTAGAAAAAAACCTGGAAAAATAACCCAAATCTCTGTCGGTGCGGAGCGGGAAACCTCCAGAGAGGCCCTTCGGTTCAAATGGAGAAGAAAAGCAGAACCAGATCCAGTCCGACGGTGCAAAACGGCACCGTGGGACTGCTGGGCCGCGGATCAGATGGGCAGATGATTCACCGGCTGATCCGGGCGCCGGGCGCTTTGATTTCCCGTTAACGAGGACGCCGCGCCTCTCCACGGAGGCGTAATGAATAAATCTCCGCGTCGTCTCGCTCTGCCAGCCGCCGGGCCTCTGATGCTGGCTGCTGGTTTTAGTGGAGAGAAGCGTTTGAATCCCAGCCCAGCGTTAATTAACGCTGAAGAGGAAAAACAGAAACAGAAATAAAAAGGGACAGAGAGGAAAATATGTCTGCTGTCTTCAACCGGGGTCAAAAAGGCACTTAGATCAAGTTTTATGGAGTGAAAAAAGGCTCAAAATGTAGGTAGATAACTCAAATTAAGCTTCAATAATCAAGCTAATATTTCTTAATGAGACAAAGTGACAACTGAGGTCCCTAAATGTGGATCAATCAAACAAATGGAAATGCTGAGAAGCAAGCAATGTGTGAGAAATAAAAACTCTTTAATCATCCAAGTCATTTATTTAACTTTATTCATTATAAACTGTTTTTAGGGAAAACATTTAAATTATATAAGAGCTGCAGTATTTTATATTCGGATAATCTGTCATGCCATGACAGATATATGAGACAGATAATCTGTGAAAAATTGACCCACTCTGTCTTCCATTGCTAACTAGAATCAACCAATCAGAGACAGGGGGCGGGGCTTAGTGCTGTTATTTAGGCTGCTACAGCTAGCAGAGCCTGTTGTGAATTCTAAGGCTAGTTAGCATAGCCTCCGATGACAGTGGATAAACAGTTTTCTTGCAACAGTAAGTTGTTTCTCGACCATTAGCACTTTAAGCATCGAGTACATGAGATTGATTGACAGTGCTAAGCCCCACCTCCTGGCTCTGATTGGTTGCTTTTGTTCGTGAGCGGTTCATGCCTTCAACACTAAAGTATTTCTAAGAATCAGCAGGAGTTAATAAAGCCTGCAGCAGCAGCAGCTCCCACTGACGGCTGCTAAACACTGAACATAAATATCTTTTCTCAGACCAGCAAACTGCACAGAACTACAACAGATCTGGTCGTTTTCAGTTGTGATATCAGATGATTTTTGCCTCTTGATGTTTGGCAACTGTTTGATCTCTATCACCTTTTACTGTAGATTACAGACTGACCATTCAATAGAGTTCAATCCTGACTTAGGTTCTAACTTATATAAAATTATATAGGCTTAAGTTTTAACCCCCTGCTGAGCAAGATTCAGCTAAAACAACAGAACAACTCGTCACTGGTTTCCCTCCAGACTGGTATGAAGATTCTGTCCGGAAATCAAACTAAGTACTAAAACTGACAAAAACATGTTTACATTACATGTTAGAAAAAAAAGGAACCTAAATTTGTTAATATTTTGAACACAATTAATTGCATTTGTTTTACATGTAACAGTTCAGAGTGGAACCTTTGTATTTGTATGTTTCTGGTAACCCGTAAATCTGATGCACAAGCAACATCCGCTAACACCAGCGATGGAAGCTTCTTCTTTTCGGTCTGCAGGGTTAATCTCTGCTTCTGAACTGATCTGATTGGACACTAAAAAACATTATTGTTGTGTTCAAGTTGTACTAATACAAGTTAGCCAATCAGTGAAGCTACTCAAGCCTAAAATAGCATCTTAGTGCTAACATGTAGCAGCAGCACAGATGCTAATGCTAATGTTAGCGTCCACATTTCTAAAGAAGTTTCAGAAACACTGGAAAGCTGAATGGCTGACACTTTCCTTCAGTCTGATGTTTGAATATCTGATCAAAATCAATAAATGTATTTGCTGTTGAGCTAACATGTTTATTTATTCAACAGTTTAGCAGCAAAAATGATTTTTGAACTGAAGATGTTGCTTATTTTGTTGGCATATGGTTATAGTTTTTGATTCAAATGTGATGATTAATCACAGTTAACTTGATAAAAATTTTTAATCAAGTCTCACCACCAGTTTGAACAAATAAATACAACATAATGTATTTATAAAAAACGGCAGTAAAAGTTGGATCATTTAAAAGAAAAAGCTGAAGGAGAAAAGTGTTGTGTTTTTTTTCATTCATGTTGTTGTTGGAAAGAGGGACAGATTCTCTCCCTGCAGCTCCAGGATAATTGTTTGGTGGTGGAGGGATACGATACGACTGGGAGGCAGGATGCAGGTTGCATGTTAATTAAGCTGAATACTAATTGGACAGACAGAAAGGAGATGAAGAGCTGCTCTTCTTCCTCCTCTCTGCAGGAGTTCAGACTGAAGAGCTTTAATCAAACAGGAATTGGTTTCAACCTCAGACTGTTTGTCTTGATGCTGGAGACTCAGTCAGCTAGAATCTGATTTTACCGCCGAGAAATAAACAGAAAAATCGCAGAAATATAAAATATAAGTTTATTTTCACCATGTTATAATTTATAAATTAAATGACACAGTGTCAAGCTAAATGTTTAGCTCTGAGCTAGATACATGTTTTGTTAGAAAGGTAAATAGTTGGACTGAAGTAAAAAATTGTAACAATTTAGTTATAAACTAAACAATTAGTTCTGAGTCAGATAAATATTTAGCTAACTCTGGGTTAGCTATAAAGCTAGTTAGCTCAGAGCTAGCTAAATATTTAGTATTTAGCTTGCTAATGAAATATTTGGTTAGCTCTCAGGTAGCTAAATATGTAGTTAGCATGCTAAATATTTAGATTGAAGCTAAGCTTTTAATTCAAGCCAAAAACTTAATTTACAAACAAAACTTTTAGCTCTGACCTAAATATTTAGTTAGCTCTAGGCTAGGTACATATTTAGATAGATTAGAGCTAGCTACATATTTGAATATTTCATTAGATTCCTAATTAAATATTTAGTTTAAAACTGTTGAAAAATTTCCAAGCCTTTTCTAGAAAATTTAAGAGATTAATCTCAAAATTTCTTTTTTTCTTGCAATTTTTTGACTTTCGGAGCTCAGAAATTTGTTGGAAATTAACTCCTTTTTTCTATTTACTGCACATCATTTATAGTTTAAGGGGTCTAGAACCATCACTTCCAAAATAATGAAGGCTGTAAAGACATAAAAACAGGAAACAGACTTTTGCTTGTTTCCTCCTCCATAAATTGTTTTGAGTTGTGGATCTGCTCTTTAAACACCTGATGTTGCCATCGAGTGTTTCGGTTTCTTCCCTGAAAGAGTAAAAATAGAAACTGTGTCACTTTCAGACCTGATGAAGCTTCAGCCTGTCAGAGTGACGAGGGAAACCTTCACTGCTGCCGTTCATCCTGCTGCTTCTCTGGCTTGAAAGATGCTAACACACAATTTATTTTTATTTTCATATTAGCTGTAGAAGTCACTTTTCATAGAGTTATCAGGTGTTTGGTTCTGGGGAAGCTGCATTTCTAATTGAGCGTCTTCAGTGTGACAGACGGTTAGACTGCCACTTCACCGTCTCGCTGCTGGCAGAGCTAATGAGCAGTAAATCGGATCTTCAGGGCAGTTCTGGCTGCTGTTGACCGAGAGAGAAAATGATGAGGCTCACACTCCAGTTCTACATCGACTGAGATTTATGAAGCAGAACCGAGAGAGAGAGAGAAGGAGAGAAAGAAGGAGAGAGAAGAGGAGAGAGAGAAGAGTCATAAACATGAAGATAAACACAATTATGTCTTTGTAAACAGAACACAGCGCATGGATGGATGGATGGATGGATGGATGGATGGATGGATGGATGGATGGATGGATGGATGGATCTTCAGTCTGTCTCCATGTTGAAACCTTTCGGAAACCTGAAATCTGCTCTACTTTTCACCATCGTCCGGATTAAATCCTCTCATCTTCCTCTTTATCTCCTCTTCATCGCCTCTTCATCTCCTCTTCATCGCCTCTCAGCTCAGTTGGCTTGTTGTTTCTGTTTCCGCCCTTCTTCCTCTCATCAGCGTCGTTCTTCATCAGAAACAAGCGAGAGCCAAGAACTGAGAGATCCTGCAGAACGTGGAACGTCTGGATGTTCAGAGGAATAATCTGCCCCAACACCTGCCTGACTGAATACTGAGAACATCCATCAGATCATGTTTCACTGGATCCTGTCCCAGTGTATTTTAATTTTGCTGTATTTCCTGGTATTTAGAGCTGTATTTCCTGGATGTGGTGTCTGTTCCCGTCAGGATTGTTGCTACGCTGTCCCACCTTTAGCGCTGGAAAAACATCAAAGTTGCATCAGGAGTAGTGTTGCCTTGATTAGAGAGGGAAACTGGAACAGTCAGGCAGCAAATGAAGCCATGACCCATTAGCATTCTTTGATTAAAGGCCAACTTTAGTGAGTTTAATAGAATAATATGTAATGGATGTTATCTGAACATTATTTTATATCTACATGTCTTGGATTCAATTATAAACTGATTCCCCATTTAAGAAAGGGAGAGAGAAATGTTTGTTCTGCAGTTCTTATAAATAAATGAGGAATTTTTCCTTTTGCATTCACACTGATGTGGTTTCTCCTCTGCAGAGATCTTCAGTAGAACAGTCATGGACTGTAAAGCAGCTAATTTGGGATTAGTAATCTGGTTTTGGAACCAGAGGTTAAAGTATCTGGTCCAGGATCAGCCGTTTTAAATGAATTTTAACATTGCAGCATTTCTAACCTGAGGGTTCTGGTTCTGTGTGATCCGGTTCACTCTGCTGTGCTCCTGACAGGTGTGCTGGTGGTGAACGTTACCTGGAGGAAGAGAACCTACGTGGGAACTCTGCTGGACTGCACCAAACACGACTGGGCTCCTCCAAGGTAAACATTCGCCCCGTCTTCTGACAGACATTCAAAGATGCATCAAACGGCGATCGACCGATTCTTACATGTGAAGCCGATTTATCCTCCGATCTTTTCTACCTCAACAAAGGTCTGAAAACCAGCCTCTGTCCTCTGCTGCTCTGCAGTGACAGGTTTGACTGGCAGACTGACCCACCTGGTCAGGTCTGCAGTTAACAGTTAACTTTCTTGTTATACTTGGCAACATTTCAGAAAAAAAAAAAAATTAGCAGGTTGGGCTGTTTAAAGATCAGTAATCGGAGATCGACCAGAAAACTGCAATCGGTGCTGCAGCCCTACTCCAAACTATGCAAACGGCTAATTTGCATTTCCTGTTTTTTCTTCTTTTTTTGTGACATTTTAAAAGTTCACATGACAATTGGATGGAAACATGGCTGCTGATTACAATCAGTTAATGAATGCATTTGATTAGCAGCACCTGGCTGCATCCAGTGCAGATGTAAGCAGGAATGATGTCCTGAAATGACAGACTGAAATCTGTTGTCTCTGTTTCTACACTTATAAAATCCTCCTGGTGGAGATAAACACACTGAAAGAGTTTAAACCGTGTCAGTTCAGCCTGATCCGGGGTGTTAAACCGATGACCACTGCTCCGGTTCGCAGGACAGAAACTCGTTTTTTCTTTATTGCTGCAAAGATGATTAAAGGTGTAAGTTGTCTCAGAGGGTTTCAGCCGCTGTTCGGTGATGAGCTTTAATAAAAACACTCTCCACTCTGCATCCAAACCGTTTTATAAACCGAGAGCTGCTGAGTGGGAAACGTGACGGTGGCTCCCTCGCTCTCCTGAAACCTTTCAATTATTGCTCCTGTATGTAAGTGATAGTTGTCATGGCAATTACAGCTTAATCTCCAAAAGTGGGGACTAAATTGCTTTTTTCATTTCGACTCGTCTCTCGGCGGAGACCGAATGCAGTTTCATAATGTAGCTCAATGGGATAAAGCTTCTTTTTTTCTTGTTGATTCATTTTCTGAAGTAAGTGAAAAAGATTAAATATAATCAGACAAACTTCTATAGAAAACGTGTTTCTAAACCATCGTCACTCTGTTAAACAAAAGCCCAAAAGCAGGAAATATGGCTGGAATGTCAAAGAAATAGCTGGAGGTTTTGCCGCATATTTCAGCAGCAACTGTGGAAAAAAACATTTACAAACATCACAGGAAACCTGAGAGATCTTCTTCTTAAAAAATCTAAACTCTGAATTTGCTCTGGATTATTTAACGCCATCCGGTTCTGGGAAAAAGTGCTGCAACGACTGCATTAAAGGGTCGTTACGGATGCAGAGCCGCGGCATCAGCAGACAGGTTCCTGATATAAATAACAGCACGTATTGGAGTGTGGAAAAGCAGCGTTAAGATGCAAAGCGCAGCAGCGAACAGCATCAAAAGACTTCAAGGTAAAAGGGGAACGCTGTGTGAATACGAAACGACTCAAAGACGGAGATAATGGTGGATTTTACAGATTCCTTCATGTTTATCAAATAAAAACAGGCTTTGTGCAGGAAAAAAATACTGTTTGTGCTTAACGTCAGGGTGAAGTGGTTCACTTTGAGCTGAAATCTGATTTCAGCTCATTCTTGGTTAAAATATGAAATATGAAGTGTCCTCCATTTGCACCCCAAATGCTCATCACTTTAAAATGTTCAGCCAACATTGTGTTTGGGTATCCAGTTCAAACACAACATAAAACCTCCCCAGCTAAAAAAAATACATAAATTTAAATGATGTCCTCTATGACATCAACTGCATTTTAAGACTTTTCACTGTTTTTGGCTGTCGTTCCTAATATTCTGACCAGAAGCAGATCCCATTGCAAAAAACTCTTTGAACATAACAAGACTTGTGTTTTTTGTGGCATTATTTAAAACACAGTGTTGTACTGGGATCTCTGTTTTACAACACTACTACATAGTGACCTTGATGAACCAATGACTGGACATTGATGATGTTGCGTTTGAGAGATTCTAGACATTTGGGGTTCTTGTTGGTGGAGGAGGCAACCCCTACACAATGATAGGGGAAATGCTGCACACATATACGAACCTTGTCCATCATAGTGGAGCTGACAAGGTTCAGCTCCACTATGATGCTAAGCTTTGGTTCAACGTTTTTTAGGGAAAGGTTTCTACTAGTGAGGCCTGCGGTAGCCACTGGGGACGGGGGTTGTGTTGGGTTTAATCTTATCAATCTGTCTGCTTTCTCTCTGTCTCTCCAGGTTTTGTGAGTCTCCCTGCAGTGATCCAGAATTCCCCGGCGGCCGCGGACGAGGGAAAAGGATGAGGATGGCCATGTCTGAGCGGCCCTGCATAGAGCCCTCCCATGCCACTAAAGTCAGAGGTCTTCCACACCACCGGAGTCGAGGTGGTGGCGTAGCAGGATCGATCCACAGCAAAGGACGGAGGGGCAGCCTGAACCTCATCAACAGCAACGGCAGAGCACCTCCTTCCTTCTTCACGGTCGATGATGTTAAAGCCACCAACGTAACCTCCTCTATCCCTGCCGGGAAGCGAAAGAACAAACCACCAGCCGACTTGGACCTTAGTCTCGTTTCCTCGGACGACATTAAAAACGGGAATGGGAAGAGGATCCGAGCGAAATCCCGGAGTGCCCCTTCGACGCCTTTGGGCAAATCAGACCCATCTTTCATGGATCCAGGAGGAGGCTGTGCTTCCTCTCCTCCCCCGCCCATTCTCATCGACTGCCCTCATCCAAACTGCACTAAACGCTACAAGCACATCAACGGCCTGCGCTACCACCAGACACATGCACACCTGGAGGCGGAGGAGCAGAGGAAGCCTGAGCTGGGTCCCTCAAAGGACGGAGACAGTGAGGATCGACTATCAGACTGTGAGGACAGCATCAGCAACTTGACGTATGAGCCCCCAGAGAACAGCACAAACACTCACAGCTCCTCCAAGAAACCCACTCCTCTGTACAAGGTGACTACGGTGGGGTCACCTAAGAACAGACGGTTACTCCTCAGCACGGACCACAGTCCTTCCGCCAACTCCAAAACCAGAAGAACCTCACTCCTGAAAGACGGTCTGATTGATGACCTCAGCAATCTGCCTATCATTTCCAACATGACTGTGGTTTTAGAGAACTGCATGATCCCAGACAGAAGCACGTCTGTAGAGATGCCGAAACTAGAAGCAGAAGGACTGATTGATAAAAAGGGAGGAGCGTCTGATAAAGGTAAGAAAGCCAATGGGAAGGTGGAAAAACTGTCCAAGTCCAGGACTAACCGTCCAATCGCTCCAGCTCCTGCTCCACCGAAGCTGATTGCCATACCCAACACGACATATCCGACCAACACAGCTGATGTTGCTCCCCCACAACAGTCGTCCCCAGTGGCTGCCATTGGCCTCACTAGTAAAAACCTTTCCTTAAAACCCATTAAACCAAAGCTTAGCATTGTAGTGGAGCCCAACCTCGTCAAAGCCACAATGGTCACTTGCAAAGAGACCAGGAAAAAGGAAAAACGGAAGATAAAGGACAAACATAACAAAGAACCAGCAAACAGAACTCCCAATGGTGATAGTACTGTGATCAAAGTGGAAGAGGTTGGAATTGGACCTAAAGGTGGCGTTAAGGAAATATCCGGAAGCCTTCTGAAGGAACACCTTAGCAAACAGGATGTAATGAACGGACTCTCAGAGAGCCAAGAGAGCAGGATGGCCAGCATCCGTGCAGAGGCTGATAAAGTCTACACTTTCACAGACAATGCCCCCAGTCCGTCTATTGGTGGTTCATCGAGACTCGATTCGAGTCTAGCAGCAGACGGAGGCAGTAAGAACGACAGCCCTGCCTACTCCGATATCTCAGACGCCGGGGATGATGGAGGGTCTTCTGAGTGTCGCTCAGATGGACTCAGGTCCAAGTCCAGCTCCTCGTCTTCCTCCGAGGTGAGCTCCAATAGCAACTATGCTAACTCTAGTAAAACCCCTCCCACAGCTTTGAAGGAGCCCCAGTCCCCATACTTTCATGGCTACGATCCCTACTACCTGCAAGGGTACATGCAGCCGGACAGGCAGAGCAGCGGGGCTGTTGCTTTCCATAAAAACTCTCCTCACGACAGCAAAGGGAAAGACAGGAAAGAGGACATTAAAGACGACGACAAAAATTCCTCCCATGAGTTCTCAGATCCTAAGAAAGGTGACGGGCCTCCTCAGTCTCAGCTCCAGCTGGCAATGAGTCAGACCCAGACGGCCTTGGCCCAGTCCCTTTACTATGGTCAGTACTCCAGAGGACTGTACATGGACCAGAAACTTCTACTGGCTTCCAAATGCTGTGACCAGACCCTCACTGCCAAGCAAAGGGTACAAGGGTTGAGGGACACTGACGATGTTAAACATATGGTTGGGGTTTCAGCCAGTGGGGCCTTGCTAGGTAAAGGCCCGGATGGTGCTAAAGGTTGCTGTTCCAAACCGGTGCTTTCCTATGTGGAGATGAGTGAAAGGGGAGAAAGGGGGCAGAGTCTGGGCGTAAAGGTGGTGCACAGTGGCATAGTGGACCAGCACCAGGTCTCAATGAAAGACTGTGATGACATCAAGTCACCCTCCTCTTCCTCCTCTTCTTCATCCCTCCACAATCCAAACAGTCAGACAGATCTGGACTCAAATGTTTCGTTTTCCAGTGTAAGTTTCTCCCTCTGTTTATAACCCGCCGCCGCCGCTGATGGTGTTGTTGGTGTGCTTTACTGACTGCTGTTGAGTGTCACAAAGAGATTAACCTCACATTGTGTACAATAGGTGCTAATATCAAGGACCATGTGGCTTCTGTGCTGCTATAACTCTACTCTGACATACTACTTCAGTTGTTTCCAATGCAAATGTCTTTTAACGTTTAGAGTGAGATTTATTGGAGGAAATGTGTTTTTTCCAACTTTAGCTGTAAAAGAACAAAAAGCTTGTGCAGTTTTCGTACCAGTGTCATCCCTTTAACCGAGCCGTGTTGAAGAGGTTGCTCGTTTTTCCTCCAAATTGCTCTAAACTCTTCACTTAATCATGTGTGAGACGCCACTCTGCCTCACATCTCACTGCTGAATGGCCGCCTGCTGTTGAAACGTCGTCATCCTTCATCAACATCCCATCCAGAGCCAGTGATAGATGGTCTGTCTATGGCTCTGTTCACTCAACTACAGTGTTTCCTCTATAGTCATTCAGCAGCGGTGGGCCACCGTTGAGAGAAATTGTCAAATGAACAGATGAGTCATAAATTACCCTTCGCTTGTCCTTAAAAAGCACTAAAGAGACAATTTGCTGATGCTTAAATAGAACGGTATCTAAGTTTAGCCCTCGCACCTGGCAATGTAAGCAGGACCGAGACGTGGACCGAAGTCGAGCCGACCCGAAAAATGGCTGCCACCCACCACTGTTAACAAAGAATTATAGGGGAAACACTGAACCAGCACCAACACTTGTCCCCATCAATCTAGTCCCCAGACGGCCCTGCCTGGGCGCACCGCCTCGCGCTCAGCAAATATTCAGAGCTTCAGAGTCAGCACGGGGAGAATGTCGAGGAGGGGGAAGTGGGCAGTGGGAAGGAGTGGGGCACTACCGTGGAGCCTGCTGGGGCCAAGATGACCTCAGGTGGCGTAAATGCTAAAAAACCCAGAGCTCACGGGCTCCAAGACTTCCTGCCCGTCACTGACACGGAGGATTCAGACCGACAGGAGGGGCTGGAGGACCAGGACCAGGAACCCACTGGAGGGCTGTCAGAGGAGTCTCACAATGCCAGGGCGGCAGTGTCTCCTCCCATGACCCCCCAGCAGCCCTACATCCAGTACCAGCACGCCTCCTACTCTCCCTACCTGGCGATGTGTGAGGGCAGCGGGGGCTCGTACAGGGGGGTGTCCCCAACGCTGGTCCACAACTACCCAGGTAACAGGCAGACATCAGCTGCCTGCATGTTTAGACTAAATGTACTCATAAATGCAGAAACGTAATGTAACATCTCATCCCTACGATATGAAGCCAAAGGGAAAATACCTGCATTTTATGTAATGGCCAGTAGAGGGCAATGATGAAAAATAATGCACAGCTTAAAGGGGCAGTATTATGTGTTTCCAGGCTGTTAAACTATGTTAGTTTTGTACCATAGTTATGTAAAAATGCTGTCAATATGACTTCCTAAATGAATGCCTTGAAACCGGGCCTCTGTCTCTTTAAAATCTCCTGGTCTTTCTGAAGCTCCACCTTCAGGAAGTAATCAACATGGCTCCTTTATTAAAAATAATAGGGGAAAATAATCTAGTTTTAATGATAAGAGTAAAGATTTTGGCTAAATTTGAATTGATTTTAATCACAATTCAAACTGTTGTACATCCCTGTTATATAGCGGGAATGCTTTAATTTTACCTTTGTATTGTTGACTTTAATCTTTTAAATTCATTTAAATAATCTTTATACCAAACAAAATCAGTGTTTTGCATATTTTTCTGTAGGTTTTGTTTGGATGCTTTCAACACACTGATCTGTTTTTTCCACAGTTCTGTGTGTCTAGGCCTGTCGCAATAAGTAATAAATCAGTAAATCAATTAATCACATAATAAATTAAAACAGTATAAATAATTTTCATTTGCATGATTTATTGCTTTTCTCTTTTCTCTTTCTACCAAAAAGTCTCCAGTCTGTCTTTTTTTAAGGACAATTTTGTTTACAGAGACTTGATAATTCATTGTATTTGTAGTTACTTTCGTTTTGTTTATTTATTTAGGCTAAAAACCAGTTCCAGTGTTAAATGTTCATTAGAATTTAAAGTTTACTTGTATTATTGCATTATTATGTCTTAGAGTTTCAAAACAACAATATTATCATTTATTGCAGTAACTTCTGGGACAATTTATCGTCCAGCTAAATTTGTTTGTTCCTGCTTTGTGTTTCGTTCTCCAGGTTTCCACTATCCTCTGTATGGAAAGACGGCTGGCAGAGAGGAGTCGGAGGTGACTCCGCCTGGCAGAGGAGAACCGGCCAGCGGCAAGCTGATCGGTGACTCTTCGTCCTCCTCCTCCTCCTCCTCCTCCTCCGTGGAGCTGCTGCAGCAGCCCAGCCATCACTTCCATGGAAAATCCCCTGCTGTGAGAAAACGCTCGCTTCCTTCACGGCCACACTCACACTGCGCCGCTCCTCTGATGTTTGTTTTTCCTTCACATGTTGGCTCTGATGGTTACTCTGACAGAAACCCCCACAGCGAAGGATAAAAGAAAGACAAACACGACAGGAAGCAGATGTTTTATCTGTTCTTGAAAAAGTTAATTCTAACTTCAAGCAATTAGGCTGACATTTACTGCATAAACACCAGGCCTGATTAAACATATGCCTGGGATCAAGCATCTTTAATTTCAAACATAAACTCTTCTTCCATGAAGAGCCTCTGTACATCCAGGGCAGCTGAAGTTAAGACTTCTGGATTAATTTCACTTTTTAAAAATTCTGTGGTTTTTATCAGAAATTATATAGATATACCCTTGGATGGACAATCTGACGTGTTACAAAAAGTAAAAAATCACCAGAAATGCAGAAGCTAACAGTGGTGGCTAATGCGCTAATAGCAAAGCTAGCTGTTCGTTTTGTCGTTATTGCTAACTTTGCTAGCTTTTTCTGGACAGATTCTAAATTACTTGACAGTTTTAACAAATATGTAAAAAACATTTATTTTTAAATGTTACATACTGCAGCTTTAAACATCATATATTTATAACTTAACATGATGATCCTTCACCAGCATGACTCAACGAATCGCTGAAGGTTTAGAACCGGTTCCAGTTCTGACTTTTGTCTTGAGCTCAGAGACTTTAACCTTTGACCCGATGTGACTCAGAAAAGCCAGAACAAGCCGAGTGTTTGTCTGTTTTCTGCCCAGCCTGGTGAGAAGGGTTCGCCTGAGGAAGACAGAGACATCGAACGGGAGAGGAACCACTTGTCGTTTGCTCGACACCTCCACACACACCATCACACACACCTGGGTATGAGCTACAACCTGATGTCCGGGCAGTTTGATATCTACCAAGGTACAGAGCTGCTGCTTCTTCTGACCTGGTCACGCATTTTAAAGGACGCAGCTTAAATTCAAAAGCATCTTTTATTAATCCAAAAGTGAAATAAAATAGTGACAGAAACACAGTTCTGCTTTTTTTTGTACTAATTCCTAAGATAAAAAAGCACAAAAATGTAAATGTGAACAAATCCTGCTTAACAAAGAAATTTTGTAGCTAACCTTGTCTTTTTATTTAAGTTTCTCTGTAATATTGTTTTTTACTTCAATTTTGTCTTATCATAGAAATTAAGACTCAGAATCTCTAAATGTTCTGCAGCAAAAACATCTAGTCAGTGTAAGATGTGCAATTTGGGATCAAATTAATATCCTGATATCTACTGTGATCTTTGGTGATAACGATATATATCATGATCTGTCTTAGTGATAAAACTTACAACAGAAATAAAGAAAAAAAATCACATACCAATTAAGTGGAATGTATATAAATGTATTAAAACTTTTTTTAGGTCGTTTTTGTGGATGTTATTTGTATGAAATGTTTTCAGCTGTTTCCCATTAGATTCTAAATCTCAATAGTGAGAGTGACATGGGAACAATTATTCCTGTCACAATAATACATTTTACTGGTGATAAATTATCCCAGAAGTTATTGCGATGAACGATAATATTACTGTTTTGAGACTAAAATAATGATGGCATAATCATGCAAGAACACATTCATTCTCAAAGATCAATAAAATTTATCTTCTAATGAACATTTAACACTAAAACTGGAAAATGTTTTAAATACACAAATTAATAAACAAAACAACAGAAATAATAAATAATAATGAAGTCTTTGTAAACAAATGTGTCCTTTAAATAAAGATCTAGTTGAGACCAAAGCACCAAACTGAAAATTTTATCGTCCAGTTTTTGGTAGAAAGAGAAAAACAATCATGAAAATGGAAATGACTGAGCTCATTTTAATTCATCATGCAATGAACTGATTATTGATTATTGTGTCAGGCCTACAAGTTTTATTTCAGGATGTTTCATGTTGTGGTAAATGTCCAAACTCAGATTTTCTTGTTTTTTATGCTTTATGTTTTGCAGGTCTGAGCTCCAGGTCGCTGGTCTCCAGCCAGCAGGTGTCGGGTCATTCCTCAGCAGGTGAGACGGAAACTGAACCAGAAAAACTTCTCACTTCAATACACGGCATGTTTACAAGGCTGGAAAACTGATGACACAGCACATGTTACATAGCTATTCACCATACTGTCAAAAAAACAAAAACAAAATAAAAATCATTGCCGTGTCAAAATTAAAGAAAACAACATAGACATTTTTATTTTTTCATGTTTAAACCATGACATAAAACATGTAAATGGATTATTTTAAGATGTTCTGGATGAAACTGCTCTTCTACAGTGGCAGAAGTTCCATTATTTAAATGCAAACAGAGAGTAAATGATGTTGAGAACTGTCTTAATTAATCTAAGTGTTAACCTTTTCCTCTCTGGAGAAAATCACCTTCTGAGTAAATGATCCTCTGTCTGCAGTGTTTTCTGTTGCTTTGTTTGAAAGTGTAAAATAATGCAGAGGAAACCTGCCTGGCAGTTCCAGAGCACAATGTGATGATTATGTAACCCTGCAAAGACTGCAGCTACCTGGAAATGGTGGAGATAGAAGAGATTAGCTTCGTTTTCTCCACATCCTAACTCACCAGATTTGATGCATTTGCTGCAAAGTTGCATCATCACATAAAAAAATCTTGTAAACAAAATATTTTCACCATATACGTTGTATATTTTGTCAATATTTTAGATTAAAATGTGGTTAATTGCAGGCCTGCAATTATCTTGATTAATAAAAAATCTACGGGGTTTTCTGAAGTATGTGTTTAAAATAACGCATCCAAATATAATTTAGTTTCTCTCTTTAATTACAAACTCTATTTCAATAATCTCGGTATTAAAATAAATCTAACACTTGGGAGACGCAATCAGAAAAGTAATTATCACTGCAGCTGCTGCAGTTTCAGAGAAAAGGGGGAAGAAATGTAAAATAATTTGGAAGGTTTTGTCCTTCACCAGGATTTGTTTTTATTATTCATTATATCAGTGTTTTAGAAACTATCTTTAATTTTTCACCCAGTTATAATAAATCAACAAGAAACTGTTACATTTGACTCAAATTGAAATTTATTTTTTGGAACAAACAAAAACGTCTGACCTGCAAACCTGGGATGTAAAGTCAAATACTCAAATTCTTTCTATCAGCATCTAGCCAAGAAGTTGGTATCTGTGGCGTTTCCATGGATACCAAATATGTTTTCACAATTTGACCCCTGTCACAGATTTTAATTGAGACTTCAGAATTAATTTTATTTGTTTTGTTAATTTATTTTGGATATTTTGTTTCAACTAAAAGTTTCAGTGTTAAGTTTAGAATTTAAAGTTTATTGATCTTTCAGAATCGTTTTTTTCTTTATTGTATTAATTAAAAATAATCTCAAAACAACAATATTATCGTTAATCGCGATAACAAATTTATCACCAGTAAAATTAGTTATCTTGACGAGCCTACCCGCCACTAGTTTTTGCACTTTGATTCGAGGGTTATGCGTATTTTCTCTTAAAGAGCTTTTTGGTGTGTTATCATGTCAGATCAGAAGATTCTCTAAAGTCAGGATGAATAAGAGCAGAAACCCTCACAGCTTCATTGAGCATGTTTCTTCTCTCCCAGAAGGTTTTTCCCGCTGAACGTAACTCTGACTGGTTTCTCTCTGAAGTCAAGCAGAACTGAATGTTCCAAACACCCAAACATCTTTATTTTTTCCTCCACAGACAGCGAAGGGAAGAAGTAGAACCATGTGACCGCGTCTCGCATGAGGGATGGCAGTTTTATCAGACATCAATTCCTTGGTGTGGAATAAGCTTCGCCTCGCTGAGAGGCAGGGAACAAACAAACAGAGAAACCTCTTTCATTTCGTACTGATGACATCCACCGGTTTTATAACAGAGGAGCAGATGAAGCGGCGGGGGACAGATCGCAGGAATGAGACTTTCTTTTTTTTTCCTTTTTTTTAAAAAGCGGGGCTTCTTGTAAAAAGCGAGATGTCATTGAATTGAAATGTTGTGTATAAGATGACATCCTAGAGCCCCGTGCACTCAGCTTTACCTCTGCTGTTGTGTTTAACTTTATAAAATGCACATTTATTGTAGTGTAATATAATGACGATATGACTGAATGTAAAGGTAATAACTCAAACTCACTGTTCTTTTTTTTAAAGCCCCGTTGGGACAAAAACAGCATTAGGAAGCTAAAAGTGTATAATTATTGTTCTCATTCTGATTATTGAAGTGGTCCTCCCTCCTTCATAGTGCTGACGCTACATTTGTATAACTAACCTGTACTTGAGTGTAACCATGTTGATTGTATTGTCTTTATGTGGGAGTAAAACCTTCACTTCGACCTACCCAGTGCCATTTACCAACCCCAGTGGTGTAAATATATTCTGTACAGATTTATGGCAGAGCACCAACATGCTCACTCTGTTGATCACCATGCGGGGGGCAAAGCAGGCGCGCCCAACAGGAAGTAAAACCACTCACCTGTTTATTTCCCTCATCAGCTCAGTTTCTGTTACACATTTTATCAAAAACTTTTGTTTCAAGCAAAACCTCATGTTTATACACACTTTTTCACAATTAAGTTCAGGTGAAAAAGCATTTAATCTGAAAGAAAAATACATTTTGTACTGAATTATCAAAACATCAGATATCAAATTTAAGTTGTTTTTTTTTTATTGTGCTTTGATGCATGGTAGTCCAAATTTAAGCTAACATCATAAAACGTTTCAACTGCTAGCCTGAGAGCTAGCTGTTTTTGCTAATATGACATGGATGTGATGACGTTTACTGAAATAAATGTTAGTTCAGCAGAAAGATAAAGGAACAATGTATTTGTTGTAATCTAAATTAAAATGAAGTCAGCAATATTTTTAGGAGAAGTTGGGATGGATTGTTTCAAAATCGTTTCAAAATCTACAGGTCCCACTGGCAGAGCTATATTAGCTCACCTGTTAGCATAGCTGGGAGCATGTTAGCTGTGCGATTTTTGGCTACAACATTAAAATATGTTAAAATAATAATAGAAACTATACATTTTATTCATCATATTTATTTAAATGTTTGTTTTTATGTTAGTAACACTGAACAAAACTAGATTTGGCTAGCTATTAGCTTGCAAGCCAGAGGTGTTCGCTAACACAAATAGATCACGTAAGACTCTTGTGTATATTTTCAAAAGAACATTTAATTTTAATAGGAGGTTGACAGTTTGATATTTAGGTGTTTTCTGCAGCTAAAACTAATCATGAAAGAAAAATATCAACAGCTAATTAAAGCTACTTATGCTACATACAGTAAATTAGCCATAACAATACAGATTAGCAGGTGCTAATTACGGTTACACATTATTTCTCTTTGTTTTAAACAAAACGGCATTATTTCAACTAAATAAAAAATATTCATATTTTGCGGTCAGTGTTTTAAGAAATTTAATGTTTTGTGATAAATGTTATGAAGACGATTACATTTAATTAATTCAGTTAAGTTAGATTCAGTTTACACAGTGTCAAATCACAATGAATATTGTCTTATGGTACTTTATATAAAACCAACAGGCCCAATTAAAATCTAATTCCTTTTATCTCAGTTGCACTTTTGTTCATGTTTGTTTCAAAACAATTCTGTTCCAAAAAGTCAGATTGCCATTTTTATTAGTAATTAAACTTTCTTCAACAACATGTTAAATGATGATAATAATAAAATTAGATTAGATAGATCAAGACAGGCAACAGTTAGAGAAACATTTCCCTTTATCAATTAAAATATTATAATTTGTAAACTATAAAATCCTAGTTTGTCTTAATTTTGAACTTGTTTTAATCTAAATTAGTTTTTGTTGTTTCATTTCTTCCTGGCATTGCATGCTGTGTTTTTAGTATCACTGATGTGGACAAAATGTAGCCCAAACATTAAGTTTTAACCTCATTATAAAGTTTATTAAAAAACTTAAATAAAAGTCAGTGTTAAACTGATATGTTTACAAACAGATCAGGGCATTTTTCTTTAGGTAAACTAGGAATTATTTTGACCAAAAACCAAAAATGTCACTTCGTTGTTTGTTACAAGACAGAGTTTAATGCTTCGATATCTTGTTCCTATAAATGTGTAAATTGTTTGTTAGAACATTTACATGCAGCAGGACTGTATTTTTCCAGCTCATGAAGAAAAGTTTTTAAAAACACGCTATTTTGATTTTTTTTTTTTTCTTGGTTGCAGCTTAACCTGAGCAGGTTTGGAGATGTTTTATTTTCTTTACTTATTAAGTGATAATTAGCATGTTATAGAAAATAATGACTAACTTAATATCTGATAATGGTAAATGGATGCACAAAGTAACTATGGTACACATCTGTGTCGTTAATGAGTGTGGTGGATGTTTTCCCCGTTTTCTGCTCCCAGCAGAGCCTCTGATAAACACAATCAGCTTTTACCTCTGGTGTTGTAACACTGCCAAACTTTCAACATAATTTTATCTGACCAAGTTGGTCTACAATTATTTTGCTTAAAAAAGCCTAAATAACTGGATGGTCATAAATCTTGTCATTTAAAACATCTGGATCAAACTCTTTATTAAATATTTGGCCAGTAGCTGGTTTACAACTCCTGCTGGACGACTGTAAACACAACGTTAGCTCGCTGACAGCTCACTGTTTCTGCAGCACTTTGGTCCTTGCGGATCTCCAAACTCGAGGGACATACCGAATGTTATTTTAAAAATTAAGCTCATGCATTTACAAACAGCAACAACGTAAAAACAGCAGAACAAGGCTGAGAACAAGCAGCCCGAAGCCCCAGCATTTCTATCAGCGGCTCTGCCTCACCAACACAACACCTTACCTTCATAGTTTCAGTGCTCATTTTATTACTTGAATTTAGCGCGATGGACTCTGTTTACAAACTTCAATCTACTTTTTGGAGACACTATTGTTGTCTCATAGAGGCTGCTTGTTATGTTCAGTTCATCCGCCTGGTTTAACCAGTAAATAACGCTCAGAAACTGTATAAACATAAGTCCTGCTGTTGCTTTTTTATACTGTATATGCCTTAATTCATATGGTTGGCAATCATGATTAAAGGATGTTTATATATACACTGGTTTGTATTTATTTTCTTCAAATTTAAGTGTTTACAGAACGAGTTACACACTCTTCTCAGAGGAAGATGAGATTTCACCTGTTTTTATGTGTAGCAGCTGAAACACAAATGAAACAGGAAAATTAAAGCTTCGCTTTTATGCTCAGCTCTTTCTTAGCTGTTGTATTAAATGCATATATTTTATACATTTAATAAAAAAAAACAATACTAAACACAATGCAACAAAATATACAGTAATGCCACAGATATGCAGTACACATATGCAGTATTTTTTGGGGGGAAAAATACTTTTAGGAGAACCGTAGTTTTACTTTTATTTGAGTAATATTATTATGAATTTTTCACTCCTGCTTGTGTGAAATTTCTGCATTTCAAACATATTTTGACCAAAACTGTATCCGACGCAAACCTATAATTTATGTCAGAGTGAGACTTCTTGTTTGTAGACAAGCTTTGTTATGCTAACATTTTTTTATTTGCTGATCCCCTTTTGTGCCAATTGGAGGTGAAAAGGGTAAATACGTATTTTAAACTCTTAAATAAATATATGCAACACCTACTGTAAATATGAATTTAATAAGTTTTATCTTGAAAAAAATATATATTTGATTTTTTTTTCTTTTACCTGAATTTGTTGTTTTGTAATTGTTAATTTTTTTAGTTTAGTCTTTTGAGAATGACTTTATATGAAATAGCTTTATATGCTTTTGTGTTTTCGATGTAAAATATTAAATCAGGAGTTATGATCAGTGGCTGTATTTGAGTACCGTAGCCTTTTTACGTTACTTTTTTACTGATTCAATGTATGCAGTCCCGCCTCCAACCGGCAGAGGCGCTGTGGAGCGCCTCCTTCATTTTCTCCGCTTTTAAAACAGGATGGGTGGCGCCAAAGCTTGACAACAAAGCGGTTGTTTGATGTCGTAACGGTCGGTGACGCTCTGCTTTTTAATTAAACACCAACTGTTAACAGTTACAGCTCAACAATTTAACCCTAAATGAAACCGACGACGGGAAGACGGAGTTTGTCACTTCGACGTCGTTTTTTCCTTCTTTGAAGCGGAGCTGATGTCAACATGGCTGCGAAGTCTGACCAACTTCTCATCGTTGTGTCCATTCTGGAAGGTGAGCTGGGTTTAATGGGATAAACGGGGACAGTTAGAGCTCAACCTGCAGGTGTTTTTAGTTTCTTTCGGTGGTTTTAACTCTGTTTCTGGGAGATAAAGTGTCGCGTTAGCAGCTTAAGTCTGACTGTTGGGTTCGGGTAAACAGTTAAGGTGGGATGAACAGTTCACCGGTTTTTAGCCTTTTCAGTTCTAAATAAACAGTTTTCCTGTTTCTGGTTACAGCGAATGTCTTAAAACAGCTGAATAAATCAGGGCTGCATTTCATTTATAAACATTCCTGTTAGCCAGCATTCATAGCTGCTGGCTGGCAAAATTAAAAAGTTTCACTTAGCTTAGAATAAACCTTTCATTTGGGAAAGTCACAGTATTTCAGCAGAACACAGATGGACAGAAATGCAGTGACTCAAAGTATTCAGCCCATTGGATGTTTTACTCTGATTGTTTTTACAAATTAGTCATGATAAACAAAATTTAGCTTTTTGACAAACAAATAATAATAATAATAATAATAAAGCATTTTAGCGTCAATATTAAAGCCAATTTTTACAAAATGACAAAAATATTTTACATAAAAAAGGTGATTGCATAAATATTTATGCAGCAGCAGGGCCGGATTTAAAAAGATGGGGGGCCCTGGAGCCAGTTTTGGTGCCCTATCTACAAAGGAAAAAAAAAATTAATAATGCAAATTACAGTACATTAATAGACATGATATAATATGTCCATCACCAATAACTCCATGTTGTTTTCAAAGAAATCAACTGTTACTTAATACTTTTTCAAGTATTTGAATGTTGTTTATATTCATAAAAAATTCTAAAATATTAATTCATCTCCTCTGATTTGGGTATATAATTTTTATTAAGGTAAACTCATTCAAAATAAATAAAATCAGTTTTCCTCCATCCTAACCAACGGCCAGACAGAGATTTAAGGAGGAGCAGCAAAAGCAAAAGAGGTGGATTAGCAGAGCTTGGTGTCATCCAGGACATGTTGGAGCTGTTAGCAGGTCAGCAGCAGTCAGAGGCCTCTTCAGATTTGTTGGAGGACTGACTGCTACAGGAAATCACCATTAACGACTCTCTGGAGACAGCTGGATGATGTTAGTGATGACAACATTTAGTTTCCCTTTGGGTTCAATGAAGTGTTTTTAATTTAATTGAATCTTTGATGTTGAAAGACTGAAGTGACTGAGTTGTGTTTATGCCAGCTGGTGACAAAGATCCAATTAAAAAATTGCAGCTTGTTGTTAGTCATTAGTGGTTTGTCTCTTGATGTTCAGACTTATTACTGGATCTTTGAATTGAAGATGAGTGAAAAAAGGAGCAGGGCTTGGAGAAATGTCCATCAGAATGCTGGGAAATCTGGGAATTATGAAGAAATGAATTGATACTTCAATTAAATTTAACAAACTCGTCATTTAGGTCGGCATTTTCCGAAGAGCCCTCGCC